CATCAATGAGGTGACCAAGAGCACAGTAACTAAATTCAGAGACAACACCAAGATAGGTAGGAAAGTATGTTATGAAGATGACGTAAGGAAGGTGCAGATGGAAATGGAGCGAGTGACTGGGCAAAAATCAGCAGATGGAGCATAATGTTGGAAAATACAAAGTTGTTCACTTTGGCAGAAAGAATAAAAAAGCGAAGCATCTCTTAAAAGGAGCATGAATGCAGAATTTCAAGATGCAGGGAAGAATTTAGGACTACTGTGCCCGAGCCAGAAAATTTAGCGTGCAATTACATCATGTGATAAAGAACTACTGGAATGCTATTCTTTATTATGAGTCGGTTGAAGATATATTAAAGATGTCACGTTTCAGTTATACAGGAAGTTGGTGGGACGACACCTCGAATATTGTGTGCATTTTGGTCTCCCTCTTTAAGGAAAGACATAAATGGGTCAGACGTTTGCAGTTATAGAGTAGTGGAGTTATACTGTATGGAAAAAGACGCGTCGGCCCAACTCGTTCATGCTGATCAGGTTTCCTAAACAGAACTAGTTCCATTTGCCTGCACTTGGCTCATATCACGAAAACTTTCCTATCCATGTACCTGTCCAAATGTCTTTAAACATTGCAGTTGTACTCGCCTCTCCCACTTCCTCTGGCAGCTTGTTCAATATACGCCAAACTCCGTATGAAAATGTTGCCCCTCAGGTCCCTTTTATATCTTTCCCCTCCCACCTTAAAATTATGCCCTCTAGTTTTGGGCTCCCCTACCCTGGGAAAAAGACCTTGGCTATTCACCTCATCCAAACTCCTCATGATTTTATAAACCTCTGTAACGTCACTGCTCAGCCTCCTACACTCCAGGGAAAAAAATATGTCCCAGCCTATTCAGCGTCTCCTCATAATTCAAATTCTCAAGTATCGCTAACATTCCTGTAAATCTTTTTTGAGCCCCTTCCAGTCTGATAACATTTTTCTTATATCAGGGTGACCAGAATTGCGTACAATGTCTTGTACAGCTGTAACATAATATCCCAACTCCTGAACTCAATGCTCTGACTGATGAAGGCAAGTGTACAAAAATATCTTCTTCACCATCCTGTCTATCTGTGACACCACTTTCAAGGAACTTTCACCCCTAGGGCTCTGTGTTTGGCAATACTTCCCAGGGCCCTACCATTAACAGTGTAAGTGCTGTCCTGGTTCATCTTACCAAAATGCAACACCTCATATTTATCTAAATTAAACTCTATCAGCTATTCCTTGGCCCACTAGATCAAGATGCCATTGTACTCTTAGAGAACCTCTTTCACTGTCCATTATACCACCAATTTTTGTGTCATTCTGCAGACTTACTAACATGCCTCCTATATTCTCATCCAAATTGTTTATATAAATGACAATAACAGTGGACCCAGCACCTACTTTTGTTGTACACCTCTGGTCACTGGCTTCCAGCCCGAAAACAACCCTCTACCACCACCTGCCGTCTCCCATTGTCAAGCCAATTTTGTATCCAATTGACTAGCTCTCCCCGGATTCCAAAGTGATCTAACCTTACTAACCAGTCTACTATGAGTAACTTTGTTGAAGGCCTTGTTAATGTCCATGTAGACAACATCTACTGTTCTGCCTTCACCTATCTTCAAAAAATTCAATCATGTTTGAGAGACAATTTCCCATGCACAAAGCCATGCTGACTATCTCTAATCAGTCCTTGCCTCTTTCCAAACGCATGTAGATCCTATCTCTCAGAATCCCCTCCAATAACTTACCCACCACTGACATTAGGATCACCAGTTTGTAGTTCTCTGGTTTCTCCTTGCAGCCTTTCTTAAATAATGGCACAACATTGGCCACCCTCTATTCTTCTAGTACCTCATCCGTGGCTGTCAATGATAGAAATAGCTCTGCTAGAAACCCATGGTTTCTTCCCTAGCTTCCTACAATGTCCTGGGATACACTTGATCAGGTCTCGGGAATTTATCTACCTTTATGCATTTTAAGATTGCCAGGACTTCCTCTTCTGTAATGTGGAATCTTTTCAAGACATCACTATTTATTTTCCTGAGTTCCCCAGGTTCCATGTCTTTCTCCACAGTAAATACTGATGTGAAATATTTGTTTAGTATCTCACCTATCTCCTGTGGTTCCACACATAGATGGCCTTATTGATCTTTATGGGGCCTAATTCTCTCCCTAGTTACTCTTTTAACTTAACATACTTGTACAATATCTTTGGATTCTCTTTAGCTTTATCTGCCAAAGCTATCTAATGTTCCCTTTTAGTTTTCCTGATTTCAGTCTTGAGCGTACTCCTACAACCCCTATACTCCTCAAGGGATTCACTTGATTCCAGCTGTCTATACCTGACATATGCCTCCTTTCTCCTCTCGACCAGAGCCCCAATATCTCTAGTCATCCAGTGTTCCCTACTCCTGTCAACCCTTCCCTTCACACTAACAGGAACATGCGGTCCCTGAACTCTCGCTAACTCGCTTTTGAAAGCCTCCCACTTGCCAGACGTCCCTTTACCTGCAAACAGTCTTCCCCAATCAATTTAAAAAATTCCTGTCTCATACCATCAAAATTGGCCTTGTCCCAATTTAGAACTTTGACTTGTGGACCAGGCTTATCCTTCTCCATAACTATTTTGAAATAAATGGTATTATGATCATTGGTCACAAAGTGCTCCCCCACAAAACCTGCAATCACTTGCCCTGCTGTACCCTATAAGAGGAGGTTGCATTTGCTCTGGTGGAGCCATCTACATATTGATTGATAAGGTTTTCTTGAACACATTTAAATTCCTTCCTATCCAAGCCCTTAATAGTATGGCAGTCTCAGTTTATGTTTGCCAAGTTAAAATCCCCTACTATTACAACTCTATTATTCTTACAGCTATCTACAATCTCCCTATATATTTGCACCTGCTGATTATTGAGGGGCCTGTAGTACAATCCTATCAAAGTAATCAGCATGTTGTTTTTCTCAATCCCACCCATATAGCTTCACTGGACAATTTCCCCAGAATATCCCCTTTAAATGCTGCTGTGATGTTTTGCCTAATCATAAACACCCACTCCCCTTTCTCTCTTGCCTCCCCCTCTATCCTTCCTATAGCACCTATACCCTAGAACACTGAGCTGCCAGGCCTGTCCCTCCTTCAGCTATGTTTCTGTAATAACTATGATATACCAGGCCCATGTTCCCACCCAAGCCCTGAGCCCATCTGCCTTACCTGTCAGGCCTTTTCCATTGAAATAAATATATCTTAATTCAGGAGTCTTCCTTTGTTCTCTGCCAAACTCTTGCTTGCCTTCTCTACTTAACTTGATCTCTTTAACTTCTGTACCAGCTTTAACCTTTCTTTTTGTGTCACTGCTGTTTAGGGTCCCAATGCCCTGTCAGACTAGTTTAAGCCCTCCTGGTTTATTTGATTGATATGTGAAATAAGTGGGCAGTCTGTTGAGCAAAGATTTGGCAGATGTGCTTGTTTCTGCTGGAATTTAGAAGTATGTAGGATCTTGAATGTTCTTAACTAGGTGGATGTGGCAAGGAGGTTTCTTCTTGCAGTCAATCCAGATCGAGGAGGCACTGTTTTAAAATTAGGGACTTTTTTCATATCAGAGATTTTTCTTCCCTTTTAAAGGAAGTGTGACTTTGGAAGTCTCTTCTCTAGAAGGCATCTGAGGTAGGGTCATTGTATATTTTTAAAGAACAGGTGGACAGATTCCTATTAGACAAGGGAATAAAGAGTTATGGGGGTAAAAGAAATGTGAAATGTCATGATGTTATTGACTGGCAAGCATGTTCCAGAGGCTGGATGGTCTAAATCTGCTCCAATTTCGTATGTTGATAGGACTCAACTGGTTTCCCCCCTTAACCTAATGGTAAGGAACTTTCCTCGCCCTCTCGTGGTGCAGATGTAGCGTCCCTGGACCAGGAGTCCCATTTGCTCCAGAGCTGTGTAAATAACATCATTGAACAGGTTGTTTAGAAGAACAGGTCAACAAGAAATGAGAGAAAAATAAATTCTTCCTCTCTCAAGTGTTGATTCTGTCGGTGTAAACTCTTATTTTGCAGAGTGTGGTTACTCACCGTTTCCCAATACCTGCGAAACTCCCTGAGCCCACAGAGCCACACGTTACACACCTTTGCACTCCCTCCGCTCGGTTTCTAAACGAATGCAACAACACCTTCTCTGAAGGTTCCCGGGTCAAAGAGAACAAGGTACTCCGAACTGTCCCGCCCACATGCGCGCGCAGGACCAGGCGCAGGTGGCTATGCGTTTATGATGTGCGCGCGCGCGGGGGCTCGGGCGGGTGTGTGCCGCGTGCGCGCGCCCCGGGGTGGGAGGGGAGATGCAGTGCGCGCGCCGCCCGCTGTTCGCGTTCTCACCTGCAGCACGAGGAGAAGCGGTTGGAGCCGCAGCGCTGGTCAAGCCGCAAGCTGCTACTGCTACCTGCACCGGGGGGAGAGGGAGGGACTGGGCTGGGGGGACTGTACCTGGTGTGTGCATTGCCGGCTAAAATCACCACCGAACATTCATCCGGAGGAAGAAACAAGAGATCTAGCCGGGGAGTGAGGAGAGAGAGAGAAAGGGGGACAGAGGAGTGGAGCCTGCAACACCCTCAGAGGCTGCGAATGCTTGATTTAACTTGGTTCAACAACAGACACTCGGAATCTGGGCGAAAACAAAAAGTAAGATGGCACGGCAGTAGAAATGTTAGAATCTGGGTAAACTTTTTTTTCTCTGGGGGGGGCGATCGGAGGATTTCTTTTGCAATAAAGACCCCGCAATTAAAACCCCTCAAGGCTACATTTGGACAAACCACCCCGGCAGAGGAGGCAAAAGGAGGACGATCGCCTGCGAATCGGGTTGCTGCAGATCGAGAACTAGTAACAATGCTGTTGTGCGCATTTCCAAAGGGGCAACGAATTGGGATTTCTTTGTCTGCCACTCGGAGCTAGTTCCCCTTTCATTTGTTGGGCAGGTAGTGGCTGGGAGCGAAAGCACTCACGGCGAGAGAACCAAGTTAAGGCTGTCAGAGTATTAATCTGGCCAGTTACCCATATTATGTCCGCACTTCGAAGAAAATTTGGTGACAATTACCAAGTAGTGACCACCTTGTCCAGTGGCTCTGGATTTAATCAGCCTCCCAAGAAAAAGAGGCAGAGGTTTGTAGATAAGAACGGGCGTTGTAATGTGCAGCACGGGAACCTGAGCGGCGAAACTAGCCGGTATCTTTCGGATTTATTTACCACGTTAGTTGACTTGAAATGGCGCTGGAATTTGTTCATTTTTATTCTCACATACACGGTGGCTTGGCTCTTTATGGCGTCGATGTGGTGGCTAATCGCTTATATCCGCGGCGATCTCAACAAAGCTCATGATGAGAAGTACACCCCTTGTGTTGCCAACGTCTACAACTTTCCTTCTGCCTTCTTGTTCTTTATTGAGACGGAGGCCACCATCGGTTACGGGTACAGGTACATCACTGACAAATGTCCGGAGGGGATCATTCTTTTCCTCCTTCAGTCCATTCTGGGCTCCATTGTGGATGCATTCTTGATCGGTTGCATGTTTATAAAAATGTCTCAACCCAAGAAGCGAGCGGAGACGCTGATGTTCAGTGAACATGCGGTGATTTCCATGAGAGATGGTAAACTGACTCTGATGTTCAGAGTAGGAAACCTTCGCAACAGCCATATGGTGTCGGCACAGATACGCTGTAAATTGCTCAAAGTAAGTGATACTCATACAAAGACAACGTGTGTTTCAATGATCTGTGCATATGTTCCAGATATCCAGGTATCTTAAAGTGTTTTTGCGTTTTGTACACCTTTACCACAAGGATTTTATATAGAATTTGGGAAAGGTTGGATTTATTGGGTTGCGTGGGCTTCTAAAAGATTATTTTAAAATCGACATCACAAGAGTCTTGTCAGGGGCTGTTTTAATGTGGGTGAGACCTCAGTACACATTTTCTGTAACATGCGGGCGGGGGTGGAATTATGATGTTCCAGCTAAGTATTTTCATATCGACGTTACAGGGTAGTTCATTTGGCTCATTACTTGCCATGTTTCCGCTTCACATTCATGCTACTTCACTGCGGGTCTAATTATTTTTTCTCCAAACCATTAATTACTGAACTGGCAATTTATTCCTCCTGGTTGGGAGAAAGAAATCGGTGTCACCCTGCCCCCCCTCCCAAAAAAAACATGCCTGCACATAAGAGATTCAGTTAAAAATCTTCCCATTGAGGGTACGGTGGGAATTCACTGGGACCACAGGATGCCGGGAGCAAAAGAAACTGGCAAATCAGAATCTATCCAACCCTGAGATTCATCCTGAACCCCCGTTGGCTTAATCCGTGTTAAAAATACACACATGTTTTCAAGTGTTTTGCACACGGAGCTCAAAACCCATTGGCGCACTAACTATTTTGTCCCTATGGATACAAGTGGATCCAGATACTAAAATCATAATTAGCCAAGCTGAATTTTTTTGCTTTTCTACCCACTGGTTTTCAGACAAGTTGCTTAATAATAATCAGGATTCCAATTTAGATTTACAAATTGACACAGCAGTTGAATGAATACCATTCCGCCTGTAAGCATCGCAACCAATAATGAAAATGATGGACTAACAATTGAATTGGGGGCCACTTTACATTCAGATCAAGCTGTGGTGCGAATGCATCGGTGATTACTTGGATATTTTTGTCCTTAGAGAAGAAATAATCAGATTCCAAACACATTAAAATGAACATCTCTCCAGTATTTAACTTTTAATACAAATTCAGTTCTAGCTATTTAAATCTTTTTTTTAACATATATGGTCACATTTACTGGCGGTCTTTGATTTGTCGAATCGATTTGCAGAATACTATAAAGCGAACTTTAGAAAGAAGCGCAGGTTAATAAGGTTATGCCACAACTATATGATCAATGACCATTTCCACGCCCACCCCCCCAAACGCGTTCAGATACGTGAAAGGTAAAAGATGTGCAGAGGAACTGGTTTAAGAATACGTAGGTATTTTAAAAGACTGACCACGGTTTGTCTCACTCTTTGGGATCCAGCTGCCGCCGTTGTCGACAGTCATTGCACTATAAACTTTGAAGTAGTTAATTGTTTGTGGTGTGGCAGAAACTTTCTCCGCAAACGGCACAAGTCGTGCAGCATGTAGACCATTCACGGTTGCTTAAAATGCTCGCATAAGCAGACCATTCTGAATTAACTGAGAAGATTGCCCCAAAGACGAGTTTTTATTCTAAATACTTAACTACAAATCCAGTAGGATAAATGCAGAACATAAGGTTCTTCGATTAGCGATTTTGCTCATTAATCTTCGATCGATAAGTGAACATCTTAGCAACTAGAATGTAAGCTTAACACGCTTTACACAGGAGTGAGTAATGTTTGACCGAAGCGCATTTGCGAATTAATACTTTCAGGACTTAACAGTTAAGGGTGTCGAAAAATAATCGATGATTTTCTGGATGGTATGCAGACTGGAACGTATTCAGGCGCGATCTATTACGTGATTCTGGCACAAAATGTTATGATTTCCACTTAAAAGTAATGTAATTCTTCTTGTTACACACAAACCCATTCCTTAATCTGGATCATTGAACATGAATAGAAAACGTTTTCACTCAAATTATTGATTGTGCAGCGGGTTGGCGGTGATGTAAAGCGCTTTCACAATGTCTTGAAGTGTAGCTAGTCCAATGTTGATGTCTTCTCTCCACGCTTGTCTAGTCTCGGCAGACGCCCGAGGGTGAATTCTTGCCCCTCGATCAACTAGAACTGGACGTGGGATTTAGCACAGGGGCAGATCAGCTTTTCCTCGTCTCCCCACTCACTATCTGCCATGTGATTGATAGCAAGAGCCCTTTCTACGACCTCTCCCAGCGATCAATGCAAACGGAGCAATTCGAGATAGTCGTTATCCTTGAGGGAATCGTCGAAACGACTGGTGAGTGAAACGACCTGCACTTTCAACAAAGCTTAAGTGCCAGCGAATCCCTTTGGGAATCGCACTGTGATCAAGTAACTGTAGAAGGAGCTAACGTTGTGTGATGGAACCACTAAAAATCAGCGTGGAAACGCAGGACATACCTTAGTTGGAACATTAATGCTGCAGATATGACGAATCAAAAAGGAAATCAACAAATTTAAAATTTCTGGTAATTAGTATAAATCAGTCAACCAATTATTTATCATTGTGAATAATCAAAAATAATTGCAGCATGTCATCAGATTCAGGATATTAAAAAAAGGAGTAATGGATTTCAATTTTAACTGAAAGCTAACCACAATGCCAATGGGCATAGCCCTTTCTGAGTGTCTCCACAAATTAATACTTTTTAATATCAAAATATTGCTAAATGCTATAAAACCAAGTTCTACCACATTAGTTCAAATTTCAATTACTTACTTTATCAGAAAATCAGCATGGCTCTTAAAAGTTTAATTCATGAAAAAATTAAATAGAGCCCGCAGGAGATGGGAAGATTATTGCTGTTACTTTAAGCCCTTTAATAATTTGCTTGAGTTCTACCATTTGATAATGTTGTTCGGTTTTGCATTATAAATGCAAACTGGTTTTGAAATACCCACAGTGTTCATAAGTATACTTTATCATGTTTCTGAGTTGCTTCAGGACTATGATTAGATGAGATACTTTGTGGGATTTTGTTTCCTTCAGAAGACAGAACAAATCCATTTGGGAATCATACGTTTTAAAAATATCTTACACCAACTTGCAGGGAGGAATGTTTTATTTCTTATTCAGCAGGTAGAAGATTGATGTCATGGAACCTGAATTGGAATTCTTCAAAATTTAGAATGGTATTAGTAGGAATAATCATATATAAAGTGCAAGCTGGGAGTGAAGGAGATTTCACAAAAGGTCTACTAATACACATGGATGAAAGATTGACGCACAACAATGTACTTGATTTTTTTTCACAAATCTTTTGAAATACTGTAAAGGGGCATTATTGTCACATTTTACAGTAGATGTTAAAGTATGACTGCTTCATCTATCCTTTTCTGAAAAAAATCTTTTAATTATTGCAGTCAAATATGTGACTATTTATTTTTCAATGCGATAATACTTCCATTAGAATAGTGGAAGTGGGATATTTGTACATTGTATTAACTGTTTGAATCCCATTATTCCATTAATGGCAATTTCAAGATGATTGTTTGTACTATGTGAATTTAAACCATTGTGTTGTAATGATGTTGCATACATGTGATGGAATCATATGATAAAATTTAGTTTTAGCATTGTAATATTTGTGTAAAAAGCATATTTGCCTAAATAATAATGTATGACAAAGGCACACCATCTTTATAGCAGCAGTTGTCTTGAAAAGTGTCTTAAAAGATACACCATCAGGTTGTTGGACAGAATGTACAAGACATGATTACTCATGCAATGTTTACCATTGCTTTGATTACCTTGGTAAAATTTACACATGGGCACCAATATTCCCCTTAAGATACACAGGCATATGGGTGCGCGGCTATGCTGCAATCTGGAATGTACTGTGTAGGGACAAGCAGGTTGTACAGTAGCAGTGTTTCTTTTATGATATGTTTAAATATGATTGCATGGCAATTTCATAAGGACCACTTAGTGCAACAGGCCAAGCACAAAAGAGGGAAATAAAGTGGACATTGACAGGCCTAACTGATGGCTTCAAAAAAACTACCAAGGGAGAAATTTAGTTCTATGCATCTACATCCTGTGATCTGGCTTGGATTTTGAAAACATGTTAGGTTGCATTCTTCTTTGCTTCAAATCCAATATGCATAATTCTTCTCAAATCCCAGGACTTTTGTTTTTAATCTTTATGTCTTCCTATGCCAGTGACGTCTTTTCTGCACTGTATGCTTTTTATGTGCTTATGCATTTTATTGTGAAGCCTGCTGCAGTATAATTCAGATTAAGAACTTAAAATGGGAATTCTTGATAGTAAACTTAGGTATTCCACTGCTGTAGCACTGCATATTGTTGATCTGGTAAATGGTGTTATTGCATTGTCAGTCCATATTCAGATTTTAAGGTTACAATGGCTGACTTGTCAGATATAAGGCAGCATTATTCTTGCTTCTCCCCTCTTTATAAACATTTAGAATTGATAGAAACCCACAATTTGATATTGAATGTTTCAAATTGGTTCAGTGCACATGTAATATTTCCAAATACTGCATTTCAAACAGTGATAACATTGATTCATTCGTGTTGAATAAAAGCCTAATCATTTTGGATTGATATGATAATTATTCACTTGATCTGATTTTGGTTTAAAAATCTGCCGTCATTTTCTATTAGGCACTGTGTAGATAGTACTATTCCAAGTCAGTGAAATAAATTTGCTTCTCCTGTTTGATTGGTCAGAATTGAAAAGCTTAAAAACTTTTCCAATATCAGCTGTGCTTGCAACACACTTGGTTTGATTGAGAGAATTGGCAAGAAAGAATATACCTTAGTTTATAGAGTGGTATGGTATGAATTATTCTTTAAATCAAAACTTGAATGATTCCCTTTGCCAACTGGGAAATGCTGAGTGAAACTGAACTATCCCCTTAATAATATTGAAGACATCAACATATACCACCCACAAACTTCTTGTGACAACTTTCTTAAATGTAACATGTAGATAAAGGCTTAGGATTGTATCACCTGTCTTCTATACCTGGGAAATTATTATATAGAACAATGGGAGATTCAAGGAGAATTTGTGAAGTAAGGTGGATTGTAGTATATATCAATACATTGTTGAATGATGTTAATTGATGTCTTTGGAAATTTGAAAACACAAAATAATACTGTTTATTAGTTGAATTGTACTTCTCAAATGTCTACATTTAATTAGTCAACAATGTGTCAATATTAATGCAGCACTGTAGGCTGAATTTACACATTTTTGACAAAGCTTTTTTCAAGTCAGATTCATAGCAACCAATCCACCGTAGGCCATGTTGATGTTCCTCATGCAATCTTCCATTTTTCATCTTATTAATTATACAATCTATCTCTTTGTTCCCCGTATAGTGGAATCACGGGTGTGAGAGGCAGCCATGTTTGTCAATAACTTAGCAATGTTCACCCCACTGGAGCTCCACGACACTTCAGCTGTGCCCTTCCTATTGCGGTCTTTCAGTGTTGTCTCTGAGGAAATGGTCTGATAAACATCATATGGCTACTCAGTTGGCTGTTAGAGTCCTGGAGGTGTCGGTGGATAGGGTGATAGAGAGGAAAACAGTGTTGTATCCTGTTAACCTGCGAATGAAGCCATAACACCAAACTCACCCAGCCTGGACTGAGATTGCAGCTGGGTCAGTATGGTGTGCCAAGTGAAATTCAAGGCACTGTAGTGTAGAAAGAAGGTTAATGATCTTCTACTGTCTGTCATGGACCGGACCAGACCCCCCAAAGTACAATGTGAAGATAACTAAGATCCCAACTCTTTTTTTAAAGACAAGTTTAAGGCGCTGTATTCCAGATATTCTTCAATTGGTCCAACACTAAACTTTAATCAAAACACACTTTATTCTTCCAACATACAACAAAATAAATTGGCATAACTTTACTCAATGGAAATACTGAAGATAATATATGATTTAACCACTAATCGTCAACTGTTCAGTTTTAGGCAGCATCCCAAAAACAAACCCTTTAGCAAAAATGCAATTCAGCAAAACAGTTATTATTCTCAAATGCTGTCCCTTCAGTCCAGAAGAAAGAAACACCAAAAGAAACAGTCTGCCCCTTTTTGACCTTTAAGAGGAAGTCTCGCTGTCTAAGACTTCATTCTAGCAACAGAGAACTTGCGCTTTTAGCTCTAACAGTCAACAGAAGCCTTCTCACTGACGGAAAGCAAAATTAAAAACTTTCCTGGGTCTGTGTGATCCCTGACCCCACCCACTCATGACTCTTTTACACTATTTAAAAGAAAATCACCCAGGGAGGACTCAGATTTACCAAATACCTGTCTGAAGGAGACATTTCGGCACCACTGTGACAACACCCCCTGCAAGAGAAACAAGACAGAACAGATCTCTTAAAGGCACAGTACGGTCACATGTTCAGAACAATAATTGTGACCATCTTCTCTCTGCTACCTCATACTCAGAGGGCTACCACTCTTTCCAAGTCTGCCACTGCACATGCCTATCATCAAGGCTCACAGACGACAATTCTCTTTATTGCATGCATCATGTACTTTCCCAAATGTCTTCTAAATGTTGTAATTGTACCTACATTTACCACTTCCTCTGGCAATTCATTCCACATGCGAACCACCTTATGTGTGAAGAAGTTGCCCTCAGGTTCCTTTTAAATCTTTCTTCCATCTTAAAAATATACCTTCTAGTTTTGAACTCCCCTACCCTAGGGAAAAGACCTTTGCTATTCACCTTATCTATGCTCCTCATGATTTGATAAACTTCTATAAGGTCACCCCTCAGCCTCTCATGCTCCAGGGAAAAGTGACCCAACCTGTCCAGCCTCTCCTTATAACTCAAACCCTCCAGTCCTGGCAACATTCTTGTAAATCTTTTCTGAATCTCTCCAATTTAATAATATCCTTCCTGTACACAGTATTCCAAAAATGGCCTCACCAATGTTCTATACAACCCCAACATGATGTTCCCAACATGTATACTCAATCGTCTGAGCAATGAAGGCAAGCATGCCAAACACTTTCTTTACCACCTTGATTATCTATGACGCAACTTTCAAAGAACTATGTACCGGAACCTGTAGGTCACTACGTTTGACAACACTCCCCAGGGCCCTACCATTAACTGTATAAGTTCTACCCTCACCAAAATGCATTGTCTTGCATTTATCCAAATTAAACTCCATCTGCCACGCTTTCGCCCATTGGCCCAGTTGATCAAGATGCCTTTGTAATCTTAGAAAGCCTTCTTTACTGTCCACTATACCACCAATTTTGT